ACACCCCTTTCCTACCTCCAGATTTCTGAGCACAGAGCTACCGACCCATGTTTCAGGAACACTTTGGTCCAGACCTCCCGCCGGCGTTGGGGGTCGCGACTGGCAGCAATGCGCAACGACGTTCATCCTACTTATTGGGATACATGGTTTCTGAGCGCAGGGCTAACCCATTCATGTTCAGGAACCCTTTGGTCCAGGCCTCCCGCCGGCGTCGGGGTTCGCCGCTGGCAATGCGCAACGCCTTTTGTCCCACTTTGTGGGGTAGATGGTTTCCGAGCACAGAGCTAAGCGACTCATGTTTCAGGAACCCTTTGGTCCAGATCTCCCGCCGGAGTCGGGGGCCACCGTTGGCAATGTACAACATCGTTTATCCCACTTAGTGAGATATACTCGACAAAGCACAGAGCTACCCTACTCATGTTTAAGGAACCCTTTGCCCCAGACCTCCACCGGCGTTTGGGGTCACCGCTGGCAATGCACAATACCGCTTGTCCCCCTTAGTGGGATATACGGTTTCTGAACATAGAGCTAACCCGCTCATGGTCAGCAGCCCTTTGATCCAAACCTCCCGCCTAATTTCATCATTCCGCGCCCAGCGGGACGGACAGCCCCATAAAGCCCTCGGCAAAATATAGATGGTGGGCGCACTGTTGCCTCACCCTTGCAGCTTCTCGCCTCCAGGGTTCGTCTACCGTTCGCATGGGCATGCCTTTCGTATCACCCCCCTTTACTCGCAGGCCTGCTCTATCTCAAGTGATTACACAGGATCTCGCGTCTAGTCACATCAAGGGCGCGTGGGTTATGGAATTACACGCGAGACTGAGTTATCGAATTGCGCGTGTTCACGTGCGGAGGAGGAAGAGAAGGAGGACGAGGAGGAGGATTTGGAGGAGGAGGAGAAGAAGGACGAGAAGGGAGAGGAGGAGGAGGAGGAGGAGGAGGAGGAGGAGGAGGAGGAGGAGTAGGAGTAGGAGTCAAGCTAGCCAGCTCGAGCGAGTCAAGCATGGCATGCCCAGTCCCACCCGCCCTCCCACAACATAAGAAGCAAAGCTGGCACAACTGGGGGCCGAAGTCACACCGGCCAGCCGGTTTGGTACAGCTGATGCGGCCGCGATGGCGGTTGCCGACGGGAACTGGCGAGCGCGTGTTGAATGCCGCGCACGCATTGCCAGACGAGTCGAGAATGGCCCGGTACACCGCAGGAAGCCAGAGGTGGCCGGAGGAAGCCCGACGGTCTGACAGGACACCCCAAAGCATTTTTGTGAAAAAGCATTGGGTTTTTGATGTTTTTATGTTGAAATGCTTGCAAACACACGGTGTTCGGTAGGATTCTGACATGAACGCGCGAGTGTGCTCTTTGTGGTATTTTTTGCACAGGATTCGCGGCCTGGGTGCATGACAGAGCATCGCGAGTGCACCGCGCGATGACGTGAAATCGCTGGATTTGACAGAATTCTTAAGATTCCTATGGTTTTCCTATGATTTCAGCAAGAGAGCCCGGGCGGGAAATTTGTACAATTTTTGTGAAAAAACATTGGGTTTTTGATGTTTTTATGTTGAAATGCTTGCAAACACACTGTGTTCGGTAGGATTCTGACATGAACGCGCGCGTGTGCTCTTTGTGGTATTTTTTGCAATGGATTATCGCCGTGGACGACAGGACGTCCATGTCGAGAGGAAAAAATAAGAAACATGTTGATTTTATATTGTTTTTTACAGGTTAGGATGGGACCACCCGGATGCGGCCCCTAATGGCCGGCCTGAGGGGGGAGTAGGAGTATATTCTAATAAGGAATAAGGAGGAGTAGGAGTAGAAGTAGTAGTAGTTAGTAGTAGTAGTAGTAGTAGTAGTGTAGTAGTAGTAAGTAGTAGTTAGTAGTAGTAGTAGTAGTTAGTAGTAGTAGTAGTAGGAGGAGGGAAAAAATGCTACTAATGATGATGAGGGGAAGGGGGCGGCGGAGGTGGAGGGGAGAGGAGCAGGAGGGGAGGAGTAGGAGGAGGAGGAGGAGGAGGAGGAGGAGAAGGAGGGGGACGAGGGGGAGGAGGAGGAGAATGAGGAGGAGAGGAGGAGGAGGAGGAGGAGGAGGATAAATGATGATGAGGGGGAGAGAGCCAGTAGAGGCGAGGAGGCGGCGGAGGAGGAGGAGGCGGAGTCGGAGGAGGAAGAAGTAAGAGGAGGAGAGAGGCAGGGGAGGCGATGAAAAGGAGGAGGAGGAGGAGGAGGAGAAGGAGCAGGACGAGGAGGAGGAACAAAAATAATGATGAGGGGGAGAGAGGCAGGATAGGCGAGGATGATGCGGATGCGGATGCGGATGCAGATGCAGATGCGGATGCGGAGGCGGAGGAGGAGGAGGAGGAGGAGGAGGACGCGATGGCCTGTAGGTAGGTGTCCGCAGCTGCCTACGGCAGCTGGGGAGTCTGGGAAGTAGGCGCGGCGCTAGTCGCCACAGAATCCACCCTTCAGGGGGATCCCTGTACGGGGGTGTCGGCCAGCCTTGAGGTGCCTCAGGGCCGCTGCACGCGCTCTACTGGTCTCCCGGGTGACGGGCCCATTGCACGGGGCCGGCAAAACTGGGGACTGGCGGGTGGAGGCCGACCCGCCACAAACGAGACAAAACACGAATGGGCCTTCCGTAGCCAACCGATGGCCACGGCTGGCCACAACCTGGTCACCTGGCGACTCCAGGGGCCCAGGGGTCCTGGACGGGGCACCAACTGTACCGTGGGACACTGGCCTCTGGTGGCAGCCCTCCTCCGCCCCTCCGCCGAACCCAGGCCCACCTTGGCCCCCGCCCAGGACCCGAGACGAAACGGCAGCGCTCGGAGCGACAGGCCTATGCCAACTAGACACAATGGGCCCCCTCGGGCCCCTAGGGGGGTCGACAGCCCCAGCCTCGACCCCCGCCCCCGAGGGGCCAACAGGCGTGTCGGCACCGCCGAGCGCGCCACGAATCCAGGGTCTCGCGTCCGAAGGATGGGCCGCACGCCACGCACGGGCCAACGCAGCAGCAGGGCCCCCAGCGGGCCCACCCCGAGGGGACCGCGAGCGGTCCCCGAGCCTCCGCGGAGGCGAAGGAATCCAGGTTCTCGCAGCCGCGGGCCGAGGATGACCAACCTCGGGCCGAGACGACGCATCCCGCAGGACGTGATCCGCAGAGCGGAGGGCGACGGCGTGATAAGGGGGAGAGAGGCAGGAGAGGCGAGGAGGATGCGGAGGAGGAGGAGGAGGAGGAGGAGGAGGAGGAGGAATAGGAGGAGGAGGAGGAGGAGGAGGAGGGGGGGGAGGACAAGCTAGGTGCGCTCGCGTCATATCTGACGTCCTACCCCACCCTCCCATCCCTTACCATGGCGCTGATTTTCTCTATCCGCGGACGCGTGTCGCAGCGGACCTGTGGCTCCGCGCGCGCGTGCGTAGTGGGTGGTGGTGCGTGCGTGCGTGCGTGCGTGTGTGCGTGGTTGTGGTTGGTGGTGGTGTGGTGGTGGTGGTGGGTGTGGTGGTGCTGGTGGTGGTGGTGGTGTTGGTGCTGGTGCGTGCTGCTGGTGTGGTGGTGGTGGTGGTGGTGGTGGTGGTGGTGGTGGTGGTGGTGGTGGTGGTGGTGCGGCGCGGTGGTGGCGGGCGGATGGGCGCGCGAGAAAGAGGCCCGCGCTGGGGCGAGAACGCCATCCTCAACGACGGAGGCCAAACACCGATCCGAAAATGAGGCCCACGCTGCAGCGGGAGCACGATTCGGAACGATTCGGGAGCAGAAATGAGGCCGGCGCCTCAGCGAGAGCAGCATTTTAGAAAAAAAAACACAAGCGAAAACCCAACTCCGGGGAATCCTGTGTGTAAAAAAACAGTACGCGGGGGGGTGCCGAATATCTTCCGGACGCCATCAGGGGAAGTGGGAGAGTATTTTCATATTGTGTAATTGTGGAGGAGGAGGAAGAGGAGGAGGAGGAGGAGGAGGAGGAGGAGGAGGAGGAGGAGGAGGAGGAGGAGGAAGACGAGGAGGAGGAGGAGGCGGAGGAGAAGCAGGAGAAGGAGGATGAGTGGGGGGAGGGGAGGAGCAGGGACAGGAGGCGAGCAAGCGCCCCTGCATGGGCGAGGCATGCTGGGTGTGCAAAGTCAGAGCCATAATTTAGTCATTTTTGTGTGTGTCTGTGTGGCTTTTGTGTCTTCTTGTGTTTTTAAGTGTTCCGTCCGGTGTTTTTTTGTGTTTTTTTGTGTTGTTAGAATGTTGGTTTGTGTTTTTTGTTTTTTTTTGCGCGGGAGGAATCTGCCGCGGTCGATCGCCCAGGAGGGTTCGACTGCCGCCCAGGCGCGGATCGCCCCCGCCAAGGTCCCCTTAAAAGGGGGGGGCTTAGGCGTGGGCTTTTCCCGCAGGCGCCCCCGCTCGCCTGTGAGGGCGCGGGGGGTCCTGGATCGCCTGGGGGGGGGTTCCAGGACGGGCCGACTCGCCCTGGCGGGGGTCGGTCCGAGCGGTGGAATCGCCCGGGGGGGTCTCCGCCACTCAGTGCCTGCACGAGTCGCCCGGGGTGGTCTCGCGCGGGAACAGCCCTCGCGCATCGCCCAAGGGGGTCCCACGGGGGCGAGGTAGCCCGGGGGGGCGCCTGGGAGGACAGTGCACGGCGCGAAGGGTTCCCGCAAATCTTTCGCGGGACTCTCGCGAATTCGTCGCGGGGGGCCAGGGCTCTCGCGAATTTTTAGCGGGAGGCGCAACGGTCTGGACAGTCGCGCAGGGGGGGAGGGGGGGCGAAGAAGAGAGGAGGGGAAGTCCGATGCCAAAGCCTCGAGGGCCACCTCCGGAGCCAAGCGAATGACGGACAATTGGAGCAGGGAGCGGCTAAGGATATAAAAGGGGGGCGAAGGATAAGAGCCGGAGGGGAGCGCGAGCGGCGCACCGAGGAGCAGAAGCGGAGAGAGAGGTAGTTCTCTGGTTGATCACGCCAAGAGAAGGGCGAGGTTGATGACTAAATTCAGGCTCTGACTTTGCACACGTGGGAGGCCGCCGCCGCTCCTGCGCCCCACCGCAGTCTGGGAGCCCCGCCGCAGCCCGGGGCTCCGCCGCCGCCCGCAAGACGATGAGCGCGCCGGCGCCCGCCTGGGCGGCAGCACCGCGCGCCGCTCCCGCCGACACGCTCTTCGCGGATCGGTTGTGATCGATCGATGGATGGATGCAGACGGGATTCCTTGCACAGGACACGCGACAGGACACAAGACTCTTCCGACGGCAACATGGCATCCCAAACCACAGGACACACGGGGTATCCTTGCCCAGGGACTGCGGAGGACACGACGCGCGATACACAGGACACAAGAGCACCCTTGATTTGGCAAGGTCGACCTACCAGTAGATCCAGGCCGACTGTAGGTCTATCCGGGGTCGGGGATCGATCGATCGAAGATCCAGGAGCGCTCTTCCTATCGAAGATGGATCCGTGGAGGCTTTGCTCCGCTTTCGGCCTTTGGGGGCCCGTTGCGGGTACCTGTGCCGTCGGAGGCTGACCTGGGGCGGCAAGCTCTTGGGCGGCGGCCGCGCCGCGCTCCGGCCGACCTCGAGGGTGGAGATCTCCCCCGGGCAACCTTGCCCCAAAGCGGGGACCCCAAACAAACCGGGGCCTCGCCATCGCTCGGACGTCCATTCCCTGTGTTCTTTTCCCCAAACAGCTTGCTGAACGGGGTGCTGTTGTGATAGAAGCCAACTCCGGCCGAGGGAAAGGGGAGCAGAGACATCCTCACAAGAATCTGATGGTCCGGGCCGTTTCGCTTGAGACATCCTCACAACTCTCGTTTCTGAGTTGGCCGGGATTGGCCGTTTCGACTGAGACATCCTCGAAAAATTGCGCTCCCGGACGCCGCGCGAGAGGTGGTCTGGGCCGTTTCGCTTGAGACATCCTCGAAACTCTGAGCCCCGAGGTGCCGTGCGAGAGGTGGTCTGGCCCGTTTCGCCTAAGATCTCCTTGCAAGTCTGGGCTCCGAGATGACGCTTGCGAGGTGGTTCGGCCCGTTTCGCCTGAGACATCCTCGAAACTCTGAGCCCCGAGATGCCGTGCGAGAGGTGGTCCGGCCCGTTTCGCCTGAGACATCCTCGCAACTCTGGGGTCCGAGATGCCGCGCGCGAGGTGGTCCAGCCCGTTTCGCCTGAGACATCCTCGCAACTCTGGGCCCCGAGGTGCAGCGCAAGAGGTGGTCCGGCCCGTTTCGCCTGAGACATCCTCGCAACTCTGCGCTGAGATGCCCTGCGCGAGGTGGTTCGGCCCGTCTCGCCTGAGACATCCTCGCAACTCTGAGCTCTGAGATGCCGTGCGCAAGGCCCGTTTCGCGCAAGACATTCTCGCAACTCTGAGCTCCCAGATGCCGCGCAAGAGGTGGTCCAGCCTGGGGGCCCAACAGACCATATCTTACATATCCCCCCTGGGACCCTGGGAGCCCCAGGAGGCCCCAGAGAGCTTCAGGATGCCGCATGACGCCCAGGACAGGCCCCAGGGGTCCTCAGGACATCCCCAGCAGGCTCCCAGGAGGCCCCCTATCAGAACGTGTCAAGCTAATACACATCCGGTGTCGATTCGTTGATTTTTCCTGCTCTTGTGCCCCCCCCCCCATTTGGGGGGGGCCCGACGGCCACATGTTAGATATCCCCCCTGGGAGCCCCAAGAGGCTGCAGGAAGGCCCAGGTGGGGTCCAGGAGGCCACAGGAGGGAGCAGGAGGTCCCCAGGAGGCCCAAGGAGGCCCCAGGAGGCCCCCGCAACTCGGAGCTCTGAGACGCCGCGCTCGAGGTGGTCCGGCCCGTTTCGCCTGAGACTTCCTCGCAGCACGTTTCGCAAGAGACATCGTCGCAACTCTGGGGTCCGAGATGCCGCGCGCGAGGTGGTCCAGCCCGTTACGCTGGAGACATCCTCGCAACTCTGGGCTCTGAGATGCCGCTTGCGAGGTGGTCCGGCCCGTTTCACATAAGATATTCTCGCAACTCTGACTGAGCTCCCAGATGCCGCACAAGAGGTGGTCCAGCCTGGGGACCCAGAAGACCACATGTTACACATCCCCCCTGGGAGCCCCAGGAGGCCCCAGAGAGCTTCAGGAGGCCGCAAGACGCCCAGGACAGGCCCCAGGGGTCCCCAGGAGATTCCCAGGAGGCTCCCAGAAGGCCCCAGGAGGCCCCCTATCCCCCCCATTTTGGGGGGCCCCGACGGCCACATGTTAGATATCCCCCCCTGGGAGCCCCAAGAGGCTTCAGGAAGGCCCAGGTGGGGTCCAGGAGGCCACAGGAGGGAGCAGGAGGTCCCCAGGAGGCCCCAGGAGGCCCCAGGAGGCCCCCGCAACTCGGAGCTCTGAGACGCCGCGCTCGTGGTGGTCTGGCTCGTTTCGCCTGAGACTTCCTTGCAGCACGTTTCGCCCGAGACATCGTCGAATTCTAGGGTCCGAGATGCCGCGCGCGAGATGATCCAGCCCGTTACGCTGGAGACATCCTCGCAACCCTGGGCTCCGAGACGCCGTTCGGGATGAAGAGGAGGTGGGGGAGGACGAGGACGAGGAGGAGGAGGCATGTTCTAACGTGCCATGCTAGCCCGCACTGGACGGGCGCGCAATCGACCTTGGAAACCGCCGTGGGTTTAAAAACCCTGTTTGGGGATACTGCACTCTGGCTATAATTCGGTTCGCCAAATGATCAAGGATACTCCTCGATGGTCCTCGCCGAAGGAAAAATGCACACGTCCGAGCGATGCCAAGAACCGGGGCACTGGCGCGCTCGGACACGGGCGCAGGGCGGCGGCGGAGGCACGGCGGAGCAGGCCTCCAGAGACAGGAGGAGGGATAGGGCCGCGGAGCAGGGCGGCGAGGGAGGAGAGAAGGACGAGCGAGGGACGATTCGCTTTAGCATTCACCTCCGCTGGCAACCTCTTTGGGGCAACTTGGAAAGGTCCCTGGGCGGTGGCTGACACCAAGCGGAGAACAGCCGACCCAGGCCCAAACCCAATCGGAGTCGGACGAGAACCGCGAACGAACGTGGGCAGCTTGCACGAGCGGTCGACGAGCTATGGGGGGAGAGGAGTTGAGCAGGGACCGACCGTCCCGGTATTTCTATAGGCCTACCACGACATGTTCTCAGAACCCAGACATTTTCTAAGAACAAAACAATGTTCTTATAACACAAGCCTAGTGTGTTCAAACAAGACGGTCCCAGCCAGAAATTGTCCAAGAACATTTCGTGGAAACCACAACAGGTTCTTGGAACATTCTTTGTAGGCGAGCCAGAAGGCTTCGCCGCTGCTTGAAGGAGGGCGGGACGGTCCGGAGAGCGGCGGCTGGGGCGGCAGGGAGGGGATGTGGGCGAGGGGCGAGACGGGCGGAGCGGGGGCCAGAGGCGGAGGGCGGCAGGGCGGTGGTGGGACGGGCGGGACGGCCGCCGCCGCCGCCGCCACCGTCGGTTTCGTCGTCGTCGTCGTCGTCGTCGTCGTCGTCGTCGTCGTCGTCGTCGTCGTTCAGGGTCGGCGGCACCGGCCGTAAGGCCTCTCCAATAAAGGCCTCCCTCATGGGGTCGGAGGAGCGCGCCGCATCCCCGATGCATCGGCGATGCATCGCCGTCGTCGGCGTGGCGGACATCGGGCTCAGCATCGAACCGCATCGCCGATGCATCGGCGATGCGGCGGAATCCTCCGACCCCGTCTGGTCGCACTCCACCAGGGAGGCCCGGAAAGAGGAAACGAGGCACAGCGGAGCAGGCGCCAGAGGCAGGCGAAGGAAGGGCACCGACTCAGAAGGGCGAGGGGAGCGGGGGGAAAGGCACGGCGGAGCGGGCGCTACAGGCAGGAGAAGGAAGGGCTGCGAGCTGCGACGCAGAAGGGCGAGAGAAGAGAGACGGACGAGCCAGGGGGAGAAGATGGCAGGAAGCAGACGAGCCAAGAGCAGAGAGCAACGACAGCGAACCCGACACGGGCGCATGCACGGCCGTCTCAGCCCCTAGCGATGCGGCGCCCCATCGGCTTCACGCAAGAGTGACCTCCGATGCGCGACTTCTTGGGGGCCGTGTGTGCGGGCCAACCAGATTTGCGCGCAAGACGCTGCTGTCGCATCGCCTTCGGCGATCGGGGAGCCCCATCGGGCCCGCACCAGAGGTCACTCCGGCGAACGGCCACTTGGCGGAAGAGGAAGAGGAGGAGGAGGAGGAGGAGGAGGAGGAGGAGGAGGAGGAGGAGGAGGAGGAGGAGGAGGAGGAGGAGGAGGAGTGTAGTCGACGCCCAAGCCCCCGGCGATGCGGCCCCAGGGCGGCAGCGGGCAGCCCCCCTCTCGCCGGCGCATCGCGCGCGGCCCGGGCGCCCCGGAGGGGGGTGCGGCGCGCGCCCCCGGCGCCGTAGCGCGCTGCCTCTCGGCGGGAGGCGTGGCGCGGAGACGGAGGGCGCCAGCCATATACCGCCCGTGCCAAGCCTGGCCAGGCCAGTCCTGGGCCCCAAAAATCGGTGCACATTGTGTGTATATATACGTACTGCAGGTCCGTGCCGTGTCAACCTTGAACGATCGGCCGTCTCCGCAACGTCCGATCGTTCAACATCGACCGATTCTGGGTCGCCGGCGGCGTTCAACCTTGAACGTCGGCGGCGGGGTCGCCGCCGGTCGACACGACGCAAACCTACCGTATGTATTCTTACAGGGCCGGGGACACCAAGCCCTCCGCCCACCGAACGAGCTTCGGCCACCCTGGGCGCCCAGCGCGGCGACAGAGATGTCAAATACGGTTCCAGGACGGCCCAAGAGCGCTCCAAGACGGCCTCGGATGGCTCCACGACAATTCAAGAGACTTCCAAAACGCCCAAAAAAATCCCCCCAACAGTCCCCGAAGAGCCCCAAGAGGACGCCAAATAAACCCAAATCGTTCCATTCTTCAAATAAAAAATCATTTCTAACCATACTCGCTTTTTCCCCACAGGGCGTGGGCCCATGGTTTTCTTTTAGTTGGTAAACCTGTGCCCCGATGCCATGTAGGGGGTGGGCAGGCGGATTCTCTTTGAATAATAACGAAATCGAGGTGGGCCGGCGGATCATTGTTTGAAGGATGTCCCGAATGAAACGCTGGTTTTTGACATTCCGATCGATAAGACACAAGACAAAATACACATGCTCGCTGTTTTTTTCTGTGGATGTCTCGAGCGAACCGCTTGTGGTGCATAATGTGTTGAAGATGTCTCGAGCGAAACGCTTGTTTTGGAGAAGTGGAGAGGCCGTCCCTTTCGCCCCAATTGTTTTTGCTTCAGAGCGGAAGAAGCGTGAAAACTCATGGGTCCCTTTCGCCTCAGGGCACGGCAAGCGTGAAATCACGTGGGCCCCTTTCGCCCCTCGGGGCTGAGCGAACATGAAAACATTCTTTTACGGTTGCTCCGCTTTGGGACGAAAAGGGCCCACGTGTTTTCAATCTTGCTGAGCTCTGGGGCGACATGGAACCACGTCTTTTCACGCTTGCTGCGCTCTGGGGCGAAAGGCGTCCACGTGTTTTCACGCTTGTTACGCTCTGGGGTCAAACGGACCAACGTCTTTTCACGTGTACTGCGCTCTGGAGCAAAATGGACCCACGTATTTTCACGCTTGCGCCGCTCTGGGTCGAAAGGGACCGGCGTCTTGTCACGCGTCCTGGCCACCCAGGGGCGGTCTCCCCCTCTCAGATGTGAGGGGGCGCACAAAAGAAGAGCAAACTCAACGAATCAACACTACGTACATATTCGTTTGGCACGTTCCGTCTTGGGGTTCTGTGGAAGCCTCCTGGGGCTTCCTGGTGGGGACCCACGTGTTGTAACGCTTCTCGCATTCTGGGGCGAAAAAGACCTACGTGTTTTCTTGCTTGCTCCGCTTCGGGGCGGAAAAAGGCCCATGAAATGTCACGCTTGCTGCGCCCTGGGGCGAACACGCCCATGTGTTTTCATGCTTGTTCCGCTCTGGGGCGAAAGGAGCCCACGTGTTTTCACGCTCGCTGCTTTGTGGGACGAAAAGGGGCCCACGTGCTTTCACGCTTGCTGAGCTCTGGGACGAAAAAGGGACCCACGTCTTCTCACGCTTACTGCTCTGGAGCGAAGACGGCAGAAAGCCCACGTGTTTTCACGCTTGCCACGCTCGGGACCGGAACGGGTCCACGTCTGTTCACGTTTACTGCGCTGTGGGGCGAACAGGACCCACGTGATTTCACGCTTGCTGCGCTCTGGGTCCATAGGGACCCACGTGACGTCACGCGTCCTGGCCACCCAAGGGCGGTCCCCCCTCTCAGATGTGAGAGGGCGCACCAACACACATAACAAACTCAACGAGTCGACACTAGATGCACAATCGTTTGGCACGCTCCGGCTTGGGGCTCTTGGGGGGGGCCCTGGGGCTCCCTGGAGGGGGCATGTGTTGTCACGCTTACTGCTTTGACGCTTGCCCCGCTCGAGGGTAAGGCGAAATGGACCCACGTGATTTCACGCTTGCTGCGCCCTGGGTGTGAAACACACCCACGTGTTCTCACGCTTTTTTTTCCGCTCTGGGGCGAACGAGGACCCACGTGTTTTCAAGCTGGCGCCGCTCTGGGGAGCAACGGGGCCATATGCTTTCACGCTTGCTGCGCTCTGAAGCCAACTTTTTTTCACGCTTACTCGGAGCGAAGAAAACAACCAACGTGTTTTCACCCTTGTTCCGCTTTGGCGCGAAACGGACCCGCGTGTTTTCACATTGTCCCGCTCTGGTGCGCAGAGGGGCCACGTGTTTGCGCGCTTGCTCCACGCTGCCCAGGCGGATCCTGACACTGAGGATCTGCTGAAGGTTTTACGAGCGAGACGCGGGTCTTTGCGTGCCCAGGCCGCCCAGGCGGATCACTAACGTGAGTATGTGCTGAGGATGTCTGGGCGAAACGTTGTTTTTTTTGATTGTTTTGGGAGGTGCCGAGCGGGGGCCTGGTCGTCGTCCCGGTGCTTCTCGCTTCGGTTCGGATTCGCCCCTTGATCGGTTCGTCCCATTTCGGAGCTAAATCGGGTCTTGAGTTCGAGCTGGTTGAAAGCCCTGCATGTTTCTCCACCGCCTGTTGTGGTCGCACGCGGTTCGCTCCGCTGCGGGACTGAATGTCTCGGGCAATGGCTTCGGCACTGAATCGGGTTTTGAGCTCGAGCTGGTCGAGCGCCCCGCGCGCGTCTCGACCAGAACTCGCCCGAGCTATGCGTTCAGGCAGTTCGAGCTTAAAGTCAAAATCGATTTGAACACGATTCTGACGCCAAGGACCGCTTGCTCCACAATGCAATAGCGCGCGGCACGGTTCAACGCGGCGCGACATGTTGAACTCAGCACAGTACGTCACAGCACGGCGCAATACAGCACAGCCCGTTGCACGGTACATCACGATCGTTACTCTGAACACTGGAATTGCCCGTCGCCCAGGGCTGACGCCTTGGAAACGAAGCCATGCTTCACATCTCCACATCCCTTTCTGGGCTCGTGGGTCGATCATGTTGTTTCCCACGGCTAAAGCAGGGCTCAAGGGGTCCCCCAAATCGCCCCCAAAACGGATCCAGCGGCCCCCAAAGAGCCCCAAGCCAGCCCCAGAGAGCCCCACGACGGCCCAAGGTAGCCCCAAGACGGCCCGAGAGAGCCCCGAAACTGGCCCAAGACGGCCCCAAGCCCCACGAAAGCCAGGACCTCCCCGACACAGCCCACAAGGGCCCCCAAAGCGGTCCAAAAGCGCCCCACGCGACGCTCCAGAAGGGCCTCTACGAGAACCCAGGAGCGCCCAATAACAGGAACTCGCCTCCTACCTCCTCCTCCTCCACCTCCGTTCGTGCTTCCCCCTTCTGTGCTCACGACGGCTCCACAAGCTGGGGCTCCCAGGAGGTCCGGCGGATTCGGATCTATCACTTGGGCCCCTGCACGTGCGATAGGTCAAATTCTTCTCATGGGGCTGTGTCTGGGCTTCCTATCACACGGATGGCTTTGCATCACTATCCTGCGCAAACTCACGCATGCACGATATTTCATTTGTTTCCCCCGCAAGTGGTGTTGCCTGAATCTTCAATCGGAAGATGGTACTTCGCTCTTCACTTGCAACTTGTCATGCATATGTGATTGCCTTCGGACAAGAAGATTTTTCGCAGCTTGCATTGCATACATTGGAAGGCAAGGTTTCAGGACTGCGCCCAGGGAAGCGCTGAATAGCACAAAAAAGCTTCTATTAGAACCCGACAGGCACTCAAAGACCAGCAGGAGCCCCAGCAAGCTCTCGCGAGATTCCCAGACAGCCATCCAAGGAGGAGGCTACGCAATATTATCCCAGTGCGACCCTACCTAGGAGTTGGAGCCCCTAGGAAAGCAGCATGAGTAGTGACAGTAAAGCTAAGCTAAAGCTAAGCTGCAGCTAAGCTACAGCTAAGCTAAAGCTAAGCTAAAGCTAAGCTAAAGCTAAGCTAAAGCTAAGCTAACGCTAAGCTAAATCTAAGCTAAATATAAGCTACATCTAAGCTAAATATAAGCTTAAGCTTAAGCTAAGCTAAATCTACATCTAAAGCTAAGCTAAAACTACGCTAAAGCTAAGCTAACGCTAAGCAAACGCTAAGCTGAAGCTAAGCTAAAGCTAAGCCAACGCTAAACTAAAGCTAAGCTAAAGCTAGCTAAAGCTAAGCTAAAGCTAAGCTAAAGCTAAGCTGAAGCTAAGCTGAAGCTAAGCTAAAGTTAAAGCTAAGCTAAATCTAAACTAAAGCTAAGCTAAAGTTAAGCTAAAGCTAAGCTAAAGCTAAGCTAAAACTAAGCTAAAGCTAAGCTACAGCTAAACTAAAGCTAAGCTAAAGCTAAAGCTAAAGCTAAAGCTAAAAGCCAAAGCTAAAGCTCCCAAAGGACTGGGGGAACCGCGGGGCGGGGACCGGGGGAACCGCCCGGGGCGCTTTCCATTGCCCGGCCCCTTTAAGCTAAGAGAGTAAGAACCCTTCTAGGCAGAGCCTAGGTAGGGAAAAATCTAAAAAATGTAACCGGGACGCGTTCGCAAACGACGAGTAAAAATGAAGAGGGGGACATGAGGGACAGGTGATCTATAACAAACTTGTAACAACGATGGGGCTAACGGCAACAAGTAACCTTCGTCCTTTTGGAAATTCTCTCTCTCTCTCACTCCCGCGCCCCGCCTGCCGCCTGCGTGCCGATCCTGAAGGGCCAAGGTGCATTGCGCGAAGCGCCAATACAATCTTGTGTATGCATCTATACACGAATGTATGTAGATGAAAACATTCCAACAAACAACACTCGCACACAGACACACGCACACAGACAACACCATACACACAGACACACAGACACACCGACACCCCGGCACACCGACACACCGACACACAGACACACAGAGACACACAGACACAGACACATAGAGACACATAG